GAAGCCCCCCACGGCTCTGTGGTGCATTCACATATTTAGCACCCCCTGTTTTAGAGGTCTAGTTGCGCCTATGGTTGCCACATTCTTATATTATCAATAGATAAAACACCTTCATATAATCTTTGGTTCTGCTGGAACCCTGGTATATCAGTTACTACAAATCTATCATTACGTAGTTTTTTCTTTATTATGTAAGGTCCCTTCAATTTTGGAATTAATTTTTGTTAATACTAGGTGTGACATCATAATTATTAATTAGAACTGAATCTCCTTCACTATAATTGGAATATGTTTTATTTTGTTTATGAACCTTGTCAATGTGATTGGAAGCATCCTGCCTGAGTTTTTCTATGTCCCTTTCATTATGTGTAGAAAATATCGCTTACGTGTTATATTCGTTAGTAGTCATTAAATAGATTTGAGGCCCTGCTGGATATTTCAGCGTTGGGCTATTTCAAAAATTTCGTAACCTAACCTTAGCTAATGTTCAATTTATACATTATACATAATGTTGACGCTTATATTTGCATATCGTCAACAAGAAATACAATTATAATAATATAAAATAATGTCGGTAACAGATAAGGCACGACGTAGGTACCTACTATCGCGGTATTTATAGTGAATTCGTAACTAATAGCTGCGTTTAGGCCAAGAGGATTAAGGACGGATTTGGAACGTGCCGTTCTATCTCGTGTATTTATATCYTTACGTGTAAATACTAGCAAATGATTTAGTAAATGATTTATGAAATTATAAATTTTTAAGTAGATGACAAATGCTAGTGATGGATTGTGTGTCTAAATGCATTTGTCGTTTGCTTCTTTCTTTTCAAAAAAAAACAGAAAGGACAGGCCATCCTTTGCTACCAGTGGGAGCATTTTAACACACAGTCCATCCTCTCACTAAAATCTGCAATGGCACTTTCAGATAGACACCGCTTGGCTACTGTTTAATTCTGTTTGCTACTGTACTATTTTTTTACAGTGTACACTCAAAATAAAACCATATGGCCTATGTAATATCACAGAACATAGTATTAAATAATATGGGTACCTACATAGTTATTTTAATATTATTATTACATAGTTATTTTCTATATTATACTGTTATTTATTCTAAGGTAGTATGCAGCGACCTTATTTTTTTTAAACATTGGCGGGCTGGTCTCGAGCGGACCGTTTCGGAGATAAAAGCGTTCTTAACAACATGCCTTACCGCCAASCTTACAACATCAATCAGTCCGCCACGAAATAAAAACAATTAAAGTGGAGGGGCGAGTGTCGCTTCTATCACTTCTATAATGTTCTATGGYAATACATTTCCCGCTACCATACAATAATTTATTGTGCTCTTATCAAATAATTATTTCCCGCCAATTGATTGACGTACTATAACCTGATAATGTACTAAGTTACGCTAACTAAGATACAGTATTTGGTTATAATAATTTATAGTTTGGTATAATTAAGTGCTGTTTCAGTGTAATTGTTATTTTAATTGTTTTGGACTTTGGTGATTAGTGATCACCGTATAGTAATCATGTCAGACATTAGAAACTGGACGAAAGAATTTTTAACTGAATTTATCAACATTTATCACGGGMAACCATGTCTATGGAAAATAAAGGACAAAAAAGTATACACAAATAGGAATCTCAAAACTATCGCTTACGATCTCCTGTCAGACTATTCAAAAACAGTTTATCCAGAAGCAAACCGGGCATGGGTCGTAAGTCGAATCCAAAGCTTACGTGGGTCATTCAGGAAAGAGTTTAATAAGTCGTATGAAACTAAGAATAAAAGTGGTTCATCGGCTGATAGTGTTCACATTCCATCATTATGGTACTATAACCAACTTCTATTCACAAAAGAGCAAGAAATGCCAGAGGAAAGTATCTCAAATATAAGTGATGATGAAAATAATGATTCTATCACAGAAAATGGTCAAAAAAATCTTATAAGTGAAGATAATTATATTGATAATAATGAAAAGATTAACGACGAAAATKTAATTACAGTTAAAGTATGTTTTTTAATTTAATACCTTCTTCTTATATAAAACTAATGTAAATAGATTATTATTTGAATACCTATTAGTAGACACATCATAATAAATTCATTGTTATTTATTTACTAGGAGGTGGGCATGTACGCAGTTAACGAGTTGTGTCCCGACCAAATTTCTCGTACACGAGTTGTGTCCCAATGATTAAAGTGGGGTACACGAGTTGTGTCCCGATGATAAAAGTGGGGTACACGAGTTGTGTCCCGATGATAAAAGTAGGATACACGAATTGTATTCCAACTGTTTTATGAGGTTTAAAAATATGTTATTTTGTTAATTGAAAAAAAAGTTTTTATAAATTCGATTCAAGAAATTTTTCCATTTCAATGTTGTATAAAATATACCAACATATATTTTATGAGATAKTTAGGTACTGAATAAAATTCGATTCTGTCGATTATTATTATCGCGTGGAGATAAGGTGTGCA